GACAGATTTATGTTGCTATATTCATGCTGCTATGAACTTCATAATTTCGTTCATCCCATGACCTAGATTCAATGGGAAGAAAGGGTTGAGAATTTGAAATTAGGGAAAGAGTAAAGAGAAGGATTCGCTTTGCAGAAAAGAAGTTAGGGATTATAGTATTGATAAATCACTTTAATTAGTAATTAGTTTTTATTTTTATCAATGAAAATACTCCTATGAATTCTCAATTATATCTTGACCAATCTCACATGTAAAGGGTGGATTACGAATGAAGAATTTTGAAAGACGGAAGATCATTTTTGGAGAGGAAATTAAAAAAAAATGGAGAATTTAGGATTTTTTTTTCTCAGGGGAGAGTGACATGGAGGGGTGGTATTAAGTCCATGTATGCAACTTTACATGGTGGAATATCCATGTCAGATGTCCCCATTAAGATAACATGCCACATGGGTAAAAATTAATGGAGAGACAAAAAAGGGGATGGATTTTAAATTTTAAGGACTAAAAAGGGGATTTTTTCAGTACAGGGACCAAAAAGGATATTTAACCTATATTTTATAATTCATTTACTAAGCTAATATACAAACATGTTAAATTCATTCATCAAAAGATTTTTCATAAACAAATTATTGAATTTTTATAGTTAAAACACCAATTTGATCCATCTACTTTGGCAAAAAGCCTCTTTTTAGTCCCCCTACTTAAAAAGACCCTTTTTAGTTTCTAATGTTTGAAATCCGACTCATTTTTAGTCCCTCCTTTAAGTTTTTGTCTTGTGGCACGTTATCTTAATAGAAATCCCAAAATAGAGGGACTAAAAAGTGACTTTTTTAAAGTTAAGGAACTAAAAAGGGAATACTTTTAGCCCTTTTTAATCCCTCTACTTTGAAATTTTTGTCATCTAACATTCTACGTATGTAAAATTCAATTTAGGGACTAAAAAGGGATTGGATTTCAAACTTTAGGGACCAAAAAGGAGTTTTTTCAAGTAGAGGAATTAAAAAGAGGCTTTTTACCAAAATGGGGATTAACAATTTTTATTTAACAAAAAATAAATATTTAACCATATAATTATAATAGTATAGTAAAAATAAAAGTTATTGTATAATGAGGATCCACAAGGCAAAATATTTACTTACAAAATAATTATTAAATTATTAATTTATATATTTTTACAAAAAAATTTATTTATATATACTATTAAATTATAGAAATTGGATTTAAAATTAATATAATACAACTTCAAACAGATATAATAACAAAATAAGGCCATTTATTGCACTTGCAGCCTTAACCGCGATGAAAGTGCACCAACGCCCTTGGCTTCTTTGTCAAGGGTTCAAGCTGCTAGTGCAGCAATATTGTAACTATTCCCCATCCCCCAATTTCCCACTGGTCAAAAAAAAATAATAATAAGGCCATTTATTATATTGTTCAAATTTCACCATTAATTCGTTGGAATTTCACCAAAAATTGCCAAGAAATTCTAGACAAACTATAGCAGTATAGTGAAAATGAAACTTATTGCATAATAAGTATTCATGAGGTAAATTGCTAAATTACAAAATAATTATTAATTTTTAATTTATATATTTTTTTTACTAAAAAATTTATTTTTATATACCATTAAATTATAAAATTTTCATTTAAAATTAACATAATATAACTTAAAATAGATACAGCGACAACATAAGGCAAGTTATTATATTATTGGAATTTTACCATTAATTAATTGCCGTAATTTCACCAAAAAATTGCCAAGAAATCCTTAATAAACATTCATAAAATTGACTCAAAACAACAAATCTGACAACATTAATATCAAATGAACTAATCACAATATTTTATAGTCTAAACTATAAAAAAAAAAAATACAAAGTATGCATAAATTATTTCGATTTACCACAAAAACAAACAAAAAATGGTAATATTACTCGAATCTTACTGACCACTACTCAAGCTACTAACTGTTAGAATAAAAAAAAGAAAAACTTAAAGTTTTCACTACATGGCTCATTGCAAAAAATGAAGGAAAGGGAACTGCAGCCGGCAAAGGAAAACGAAAATGAGAGGGGAAAGGGAGGTTCGATAAGGAAATGGAGCATTGGACACCTCTTGCCGACAAGCTTAGCGTTGGTAACTGGAAAAGTTGATCACCTTCTGCATTGCATCAGACTTCTGCTTCAGCAACACTATCACTAAGAAGGAGTTGGTTGCAAAATTTAGCTTTCCCGACGTGAGGCTTGTCGGTAAGTACAAGCTGATCACCTTTCTGACTTCAGCAGGCTAAGACTATTACAAAGAAGATGCTAGTTACTTGCTGGTGCTTTTACTGACGTGATTCTCGTCAGTAAGTAGACAAGTTTGATCACCGGTGATTTTTTCTTAATGTCTTCTGACCAAATTTAATAGTATTGAGGAGCCAAAAGTTACCAACGAGCTTCCCGTTTCCATAGGTGCTATTTACCGACCAAGTTTTCATCGGAACTTTATATAATGTAAATAAATGTTAGTTTTACTATTTGCCATGTACAGACATTCTTTGTCGGTAGTGTGCATTGACCGACTAAATTTCTCACATCGGTTATAGTTTGATTGGCAATTTAAGGTTCTCTGGTAGTGAGTCTCCTTACATAAAACTTGACATTGTTAATAAAGTTTTAGTAAATAGAGGTTTTTTAATCAAATTATTATAAATACTAAATGAATTTGAAAATTGACCTATATAATTTATATGAACACTAATTAGTATAATATCCGATTCAACACATTACATAATATATGTTGGCTCAATGCACTCCAAGATGGGGTGAATTGGAGTTTAAAAATTTTCTCCTCTTTGCAATCACAAAACAAAAAATTAAAGAGAATAAGGAAGAAGAGCTTATTCAATGATTTTATAGAGATTCGGTCCAACCACGTGGAGCCTAGTCCTCTACCTTGGCTTCATTCACCGAGGATTTCCTTCACACTCTCCATTATCAAGAACAAGGGTGGCTTAAAGGAGCCACTCAATCATTTTACAAAAAGATGAGTATTTCTCTCAAATCTCACCCCTTTATAAGATAAACCCAAACAATCCTCTCTACAAATCACTCTTGAAAGAATAATCACACCCTCAAGATCACCCACAAATAGGATAAGAAAAGGATTACAAGTAAAAATCCCTCAAGGATAAAATACTCGAGTTAAAGCACTAGTTGGTAGGTAGAGATATTCAATACAATGCTCTCTAAACTTATTCCAGATCTTCTACCAACCATATTTAAGACGCCATGGTCAAAAATAGCCATTACTAGCGACTAGGGTCATTTAATGCTTTGTAGGTCATGTAATTTCGAATTGCAGAATTGTCAGCACAGTTGGTTTAGACTTCTAGAGCTGGCTCCACAACCAACTTAAAAAATATGCAGCTGACTTTGTGGGTTTCCTGCACGTACTGTTTTCTCCATAGAACTGGCTTGCATTCCTTGAGCTGGCTTTGCGGGTTTTCTACACTTTTTGTTTTCTTGAATAGTCAGTTGCAAACTGTAAAGCCAGCTTTGGGATTCTGACTTTAAACACATGAAATAATCTTCAAATAACTTGATCATTGTGCATTAAATGTGCCATCACAGTCGACAACAAAGTTAGAACCGACTTTGCATCTGTTTTCCATGCGCACCAAACAGCGGACTTGAAATTTCACCCGTAAAGCTAGCTGCAGCGTCTAGAGCCGGCTCTCTACAATTTTACCTTCCAGAACCGACTGCGGATTTATTTAAGCCGGCTCTCTGCACAATGTCCAGCCTTTTTGGTCCATTTTCAATTTAATCTTAGTTTGCTTACTTTACAATCTTTTAGCAATTTAACTATACACTTAAATGAACCAATTAGTCACTTAAATGTATTTTGTAATCATCAAAATCATAGATACAACAATATACTTATTAAAAATTTATTATTTTTCTTAGTCTAAAATAAAAAATAGATGAAATTAAAATAAACAAATTTAAAAATACAAAGATACATATAATATGTATGAACTAACTGTATTTATATTATATTTTAATGACTAGAGCATATAGGTGTCAAAAGATATATTAAACTAAAAAACATACCAATCATTTTCTTAATCTACATAATTTAAAAATATGAATTATATGGTAAATTTTTGGGCAGCCCTCAAGAAAAGGCTACCATATTGAAGAGGTATAGTTCCATTATTGGCAGTTAGTGAATGAATTTATATTGATAAATTTTTAAGTCAGCATATGTTATTTTGAGCCCTTCTAGTAATACTAGTATGTCGTTACTGACATTTAAGTGCTAAGAATTTGTCCTTGGGCATGCCTTGATTATTCTATTTTATCATTGATATTTGAACACAAAACTGCATTGTTGCTTGATTTAATTTTTCCCACATACGCCACCATGTGATTTTCTGTGTCCTTTTGATCCCCCATCAATGCGATGATTTCCATCTCTTAAGTCCTAATTTTCTTGTTTAGTTGCTTGTAGGAATCTCAGGCTTATTATATTTAGTTTTAGGTGCTTGTTCCCTATAGATAAATCATCTAGCTGCAAGGTTGATTCACTTAAATAATTAACGGCATTGAATTCACTTGGTTATTCTATTTTTCTACAGGTTCCAATTACTTTTGTGGACAGAGTTTTCAGAAGTTCAAAGCGAGGATCTGAGATTTTGGAGTATCTAAAAAAGTCTTGCATATCTTCTGGTCACGACATAACCTTCACTAATACAGTAAAATGCCCATCTTCTTTATCAGTTTCGTTGAGAAAGTAATCGATTAGTTTTACTAGAAAACGATTGAGATTCAGCCAATGACAACATCATTGTAGCTTCTGTATGTCATGTCAAGTTTGAGAAAGGTTATTGCCACAACTGAAATTGTTTGCGGGTTTAGGGGTCACGGTGAATTTATGGCATTTTCACCTTGTTTTAGGGCTTCTTCTCTGTAAATTGGAGTTGAGATACTGGAAATTGTTGTTTGGCAAGCAACTAGGAAGAAACTTCATTGCATTCAACCAATGCTTCACAAACTATGGTGAAGACAAATAGAATGCATAAAAGCATAAGAATGTCTCAAACTTTAGAAAAACAAAAGACCAGATGCCAAAATGTTTACCGACACCAGACAACTATGAGCAATGTATTCCATAATGGAAATGGAATCCCTGTTTCCTATACCAAGAAAATAAGAAGAAAAAACTATGGATCTTCCCTAGGAAAACCCTAATCCCAATTTTCAAATTATCCTCCCTCTTCTTGCCCCAGTTTTCCTATCACTCCCAATCACAGATTTCTGGTTGTTAAGAGCCAGAGGAGGCTTCTTGTTCTCTTTAGTCATACTTCTCAACAGATACCTTGGATGCTCACTCTTCTCCACAGAATAAGCAGCAGAAGCAGGCTTCCTCAAGCTCTCAACCTTCTTCGAATTCTTTCTCTTTGAAGACTCAACAGTCACTCCAAGCTTGTACGCCGTCTTCGGCTCATCCCTTGCTTCGCCTTTCTTTCTCCTGAGTCTCTCGTTTCTTCTCGCGGAGTACTCCTCATAAAACCTGCCTCTCTCGAATAGAGGAGTGGTGTTAGCGCTCAGACTATTTACGGTTGCCATGGCATTTTCCGATTCTCCACCTCCGAGTTCGTCTCTAACCTTCTTTGCTAACTCACGTAGTTCACAAGAAATCGAATTGTATTCCGGTCTCATCTCAGATTCTTCGACGTTCCAGGAACGGATCGGCTTCGCAGATTTCGTTAAAGAACCTGTAACAATTCAAAGATTTAATAACTGAAATCAAACAAAAAATCAAAAGATTTGTTGATTGATTGCAAGCAGATTCAGAAAACATCCAAGAAAACACAAAAGATAGAATGATTGAAACTAAAAACTTCGTTAAGAACCCTCTGAAAACTTAAAGATTCAAATATTCAATCAAAATCGAAGAAGAAAATACAAAAGATTCGCCGATTAAAGGCCAGATTCGATCTGACATACCTGGCGGAGTTTGCAAAGCGGTTGAGGTTGATCGGAGGACGCGTCGGGACAGCCGGCCGGGGGACTTAGCAGCCAACGGCGGCTTGCGATCGAATTTCATCTTAGACATGGATCTACTTTCTGAGAAGAGGTGCGTGAATTTGCTTTCTCCTTTTTTGCTGGTTTTATTTCGGGGAGAAAAGTATGTTTGGTTTGAATTATAAGGGGGGTGAGAGGAGAGGAGGAGCTTCTGCAACGGTCATATTTTTCATCGGACGGTCCAAAATAGATTGTGATTTAAAAGGTAGGATACTTACGTGTTCGATTTAGTAACGTACGATGCTTTCCATAGAAAATCAAATACCCAGATTTTCCCTTCAAATGACTTTTAAGTCCTCAATTTAATTTAGTACCAATTAAAAGGGTTCGGTACAGGTTTTTTTTCTCCTCTCTATCTGTTCTTACAATAATTATACTCTCTTTTTTTTTTTCCCACTGTACTAACGAAACAAATAATAATTTTCATTTTTTCTTAATTTAAAACAGACTAAATTTTTTATTATTTTAACCTTATTGTCTATTTTTTTATTTTAATAATATATCTTAAAAGATTTTTTTAAAACAAAAAACTATGTTTAATAAAATTTATTAGTTTTTAACTATAACCTAACTATGCTGATAAAATGCAATCCATTGAAAGAAAATAATGAGCATATAAAGTAACAATATACTTATAAAAAAAATAAAGAAAGAAAAAAAACACAAAAGTGTATTAATGAATAAACACTTAATAAAATGATGATATTGGACAATTTTAATTTAATTAATTTTTAGTTTTCCTCAACTTTCATATTATTATTATTTTTCTCAGCTTTCTTATCATTATCAAAACTAATCTTCTATAGTTAAAAAAACTTTAAAATGTTTAAAATGGTATAATATAAATGAGAATAAAAATAAGGCAAAACCATAAATTAAGCCCCTGAACTAATCCTAGAATCGTTATTAAACCCCTAGACTTTAATTGATGCG